GCAGGTAAAGTAATCAGCATAGTGCCAGCACACAGTAATGTGAACTATTATTATTACTAATACTTGGTGGGGTAGCCCCCAGCATATTGCACTGCAACCCACAACCTCGCTTTCTCCCACCTGTGAATGGGATCATCTCTCCTTAGTGGTAGAAGAAGACCTGATGCTTGGAGAGATTCCCTGATAAGAGGGACAAACACTGCCAGCTTCATCATCTGGATCAAGGTGGGCAAGCTGAGGGCGATCAGGCTCCAGCTGCACGTAGATTAATTATATGCCATTTTCTAATTATATCGGAAACTCACTTTCCCTTTGAAAAAAATTCTTCTTTCTGTGGGAATTTTTCTTTTGTGCACTATTCCCCTTTTGGTTTCCTGTCTAATTTCTCTATTTTTTTATTTTTATTTTTTGCTATTGTCCAATAAAGTTGTGAAAGAAATTAATCTACTTCTAAACCCAGGGTGCCACATCTTTTCATTCATTCACTCACTGATTCATTCCACAAACATTCACTGTAACAGGCCCTGTGCTGGGTACTGGGACACAAAGTTATATACCAGTCTCTGGCCTCAAAAGTTCCCAGTTCTTGCTGACCTCCTAGCAAGGTCCAGTGTGAAGGCACCAACTATTGGTGAGATAATTTTCCTTCAGAACCTTCACTAGATCATTTGCCCTGACCCTTTTAGGAGGCAAAAGGAATAGAGAGAGGGAGGCAGCCAGCCAAGATTATTTGTTCCATTTTACAAATCAGAAAGCTGGATTCCAGAAAGAAGAGGGAAGAGAAGAGGAGGGAAAGGAATAAAGTTATTTAATAGGGTCAGGCCCTGTGCCTTTCATTCTCATACATGCCCATGGGAGGTGGGTGTTGTTACCATCATTTTATAAATGCAGAAACTGACACTTCTAGAGGTTAAGGCGCTCATCCAAATGCCACCCAGTCTCTTAAGTGGCAGAGCCGAGCTCAAACACTAGCCAAGTTCTCAGCCTGCTGACTCAGCAACTACACTGCAGGTCAGCGGAGGACCTGGGAATATCCTGCCTCCCAATTCTCTGCCAGGTCTTCATGTAGGGCTAGGCCAATGGTTCTTACACTTAACATGCATCAGAATCACCTGGAGGGCCTGTTAAAACACACATTGCTGAGTCCTACCCCCGCTGCCCCCCCTCCCCAGGTTCTGATTCAGTTGGTCTAGGGTGGGGCTGATAATTTGCATTTCTAACAAGTTCCCAGGGAAATGATGATGATGATGATGATGATGACAATGACGACTACGACGACCATGGTCCAGGAACCACAGTTTAAGAAAACTGTTTTTAGGGACACCAATAATTTTCTCTTTTAAAAATTACTTCCTCTCCTCCCCTTCCCATTTCAAAAGTAACATAGGTTTGTAAAACACAACGTATAAAAAGAATTGGAAGCAGATAGAATCCACCTGTTTTCCTCCACTCGGAGATAATCACAGTTAACAGTGTGGCACATCTCCTTTTTCCAATTCATCTATTACAAGCAGGGTGGCAGCATCCTGACGACCCCTGGATTAAGATCCCAGCTGTTCCGTGAAATCCAGGGCAAGCTTGAGGCAAGCCTAAACCCCCTTCTTTGCAAAAGTGCACTTATACTCCCCGCCTCTCATTGGGTTATTGAGAGTTAAAGGAAAGGATGTTATTTATTAAGCCCTGGACACTGTCTGCGGTGTCCCCGCTCAGTAAACGGACGACTGTTATTTTTGTTTTCACCAAGGTAGACTCTGACTATGCTAATGGTGCTTCAGCCCTGCGGCCCTTCCTCCCCCTCCTTTTCCTCCGTGTGGCTCCTGGAGACCCTTTTGGCTCCAGGCTTCCGACAGGGGCCCTCAATGAGAGTGGCAGAAGCCTTGGGCGTATGTCCCGGGCCCGTGCCCAGGGTCGCCAGCGCCGTTAGGGTTGTCTCGGCCTTTCTCTCCGCCCAGTCCGCCTGTTTTACAGCCCGGGCTTAATGAGGGCTTTTAACTTTTCATTCACCACCAGCGTAACTCCGACTTTTAATAACACACCTTGTGCACGACAAAAATTTGCTCCTGGCAATCATGGTTTCGACCACAAAACCACAGCGGGGAGGCGTTCCTGGTTAACTCTTTCAGCGCTCGGGGCCGTCTGGAGCCGGCGCTCCTGGAAATCAGATGGAGTCTTCCCGCCCCGCCCCGGAGGCCCGAGGCCGCTGGCGGGAGGCTCTGGTCCCCTGTGGAGGGCAGCGAGGTGGCAGAGGGGAATTCGGCTGGGCCTCGCTCACTTCCCTCTCCATTCGGTGGACCTACTATGTGCTCGTCCCTTCCTCTCAGAACTCTCATTTCCTCGAGGGGCAAGAGGAAAATAGCACAAGTGTGCCTGGCACACAGTATGCCCTCAGCACCACTACACACGGAACCCCGAGGATCCATCCGGGAGGGCCCCGCGGCGCCCTGGCTCAGGCCCAGGCGATGGCTGCCAGGCCCGGAGCCCTCGGGTAGCCCCGACAGCGGCCAGTGCGCAGGCGCCCGCTGCTAGGGGAAGACTTCAGGCAGCGACTTCCGGTGCCCCGCCGCCCCAAGATCCCTTGCGACCCGCTCTAGCCCCCGGGCTGCCCAAGGCCACGGGCTGGAGGCCGCGCCTGCGCTGGCGGAGGGCTGGAGGCTGGCCCACGCTCCCCAGCAGGCCGGCCCGGCCACATGAAAGTCCCCTGCGCTCCACCTGCCGCCGCCTGCAGCGGAGTTCTCACTGCACCGCCCTGGCCTCCGTGCTCCTCAAGACCTGGCCTTGGCCGTGGGCCTTCCACCTGAGGCCTAGTAATCAGGCTCGCGTTTATGGCGCTCCTGCTCTGGACTGAGTGTCCCACGCACGGAGCCCATTGTCCCCCTGCCAGGTAGGTGTGTACAGTGCCTACTGGACCGAGGTGGAAACGGAGGGTAAGTAAGGAGGACATTCACCAGGATCCTGCAGTTGGTAAGTGACAGAATTTAGAGTCATATGCAAATCCTGCTTTCTATCGGGACTCAGGATGGACTCCAGGACCAGAATCTTTCACTGGGCACTTTTTAGGGGAAAGAGGCAGCAAGAATGTGGCCAAGTCAGCATCAGCAGCGGCCACTCAAAACCTGCAAACCAAGCACTTGATGCCCTGAACCCTCCCCCTGCCCCCCCCCCCCACACACACACACTGTAAGGACAGCTGAGCCCCCAGGCACTGAGGCTCTGTCATTGTAATCTTAAATAGTGGCTTCAGAGTCGGTCTGCAATTACTCCACAGGCACAGGTCCCCTCACCCCACCCCAAGTGGAGAAGCCTCAGCTGTCAGCGGATCTGACTTCAAACTCAAACGATTAAGGAGGAGAAAAACAGGAAACCTTTCTGTTGGAGCAACCCAGCTTCAGGACACTTACCCCCTAAGGAGCATCAGTGAATAGATTCTGTAGAATCTAAACCCCAGATGTGGGCAGGAAGGCACCTCTGCAGTTTTAAGCCCCGGATCTAAGTGCACTAGAGACACAGCACTTTTTCCCCCCTTTTTCTTTTTTAAATAGGAAGCAAGAGGTTCAGAAGCGTTCGTTGATAGGGTATTTGTATATGAGGTACCAAGAGTATTATAATTATTAGCTTGCTCTTCACTAGGGTCTAAACTGATCACTTTTTAAAAGTTGTTGGATTCTCCCAACAATTCCCTGAGGTGGTTACCCCTGTGGCCAAAATTGACAGGTGAGAGAACCGAGATTGAGAAGTGATTTGCCCCAAGTCACACAGCTAAGTAGTGGTATAGCTGGGACTTGAACCCAGATACTGGTTCCAGTACCCCTGCTCTAATCCCAGTTGTCAACACATTGTCAACTCCAGGGAACTCATTCAAGAGAAATCTGATGCCAAGCAATTGTAGTACAAACGTGGTTGGCTAACCTAAGAGCTAGCTGGTATCGCAGAACACTACAGTCGAGGCCCACCAACTGCTCTGCCCTCAGGTCTTCACGTTTTAAAAACAATCTATTGAGAAGTAGCTAGGAAAAAAGATTGTTCAGACCTTGTCTCTGCCCACTTACCTCTGAGGGTGGCAGGAAGAGGTGTGTTTTAGAAGCCTGGCTTTTGGAAGCTCCCTTAAGCCAAGCTAAAAAGCAGCCCAGAATCCCAGCCTCATCCCACCTTCTCTGAGGTCCAGACACCAAGCAGGGTGTCTGACGGTCAGCATCAGCCAGTGGGACTTTAAATCCCAGATGTGGGCAGGAAGGCACCAGAATCCCGCCGGTTAATAGAGATGACTTCACCGAAAACCACATCGCAGCTCCCTCAGCCTTAGAACTGCCTCCGAATAAAATCAACCGCATTTTATCGAGTGCATCTTCAGACCTCGGTTCTTTGCTAAGCATTTTACAGCCTTTAGCCCACTTAACTCTCTTTAGAACCCAACAAAGCATTATTGTACCCATTTTTTCAGATGAGGAAAATGAAGCTCGGATAAGTTAAATGACTTGTCCAAGATCATACAACCCATGAGGAGCAGACCGTGGATTCGAACATGGGTCAAGCAGACTACAGAGTGGGTCTGCTGAACCATCACACTGTAACCTTCCCACTTGAGACTGTTCCAACCCAACAAACAAGTCCCTTTGGAGAAACCCAGCTCTCTGCCTAAGACAGCTCGGAGAACCTCCTCAGAGAAGTTTCTTTTGGCAGGAAGATAGAAAGCGGAGGAGGAACTGGGGCTAGCTCTGATTTCCAGGGCCCCTTCAGAGTATCAGAAAGTGGTGCTGAAAGCCGTCGGTTTCAGTCCTGTGTTTCCCTACCTGGTTCGAAACTGCTCAGGAGAGAGAGGGAGGGAGGGAGAGAGAGAGAGAGAGAGAGAGAGAGAGAGAGAGAGAGAGAGAGAGAGAGAGAGAGAGAGAGAGAGAGAGAGAGAGAACAACACAAAACTGTTTTCCCAGGGAAACACTCAGCTCTCACTCGAGACGGTGCTTGCCTCTACACGCCAACGTGAGATCCTCAGCCCATTCATTTACGCTTACAAATTGCTCTGTGAATCCTGGCGCCGGCGGCCTCCCTGCTCGCTCCCCTTCTGGAAATCCCATCCAGCCTCCACGCTCGGAGAGCGCCAGGCATCCACCGGTTTACTCACTCAAGTTCATTCGACATCTTCCTGCTCCCAGGCTCCAACGACAGGCACGGGCACCCGAGACTCCGCTGGCTGCTCTTGACTCTATTCCTTGCCCGACACAGACATTCCCTGTCGAGGGAAGTGTTTGATTTATGTTGAGGTTGGAGTGTCGGGATTTTGCTGACAGGTAGGTTCCTGGCAGAGCCGGTGCTGATTGGCTGCAGGCACAGGTGCCGGCGACAGCAGGTATACCTCAACAGGTGCAGCTGTTAACTCTTGGCCTGCCGAGCTGGGGGCGGAGCCAGGGGGCCGGCTGGGTGGAGCTGGCCAATTCCTTCCTTGGTGAGGGGGTGGGAGTGGAGGTGGGGGAGGAGAGAGGGAGGGGAAAAATGTTGGAAAGAAGATAGCTAGAGGAAAAGTACAGTGACAAACAGATACTTGGCTGAAGGAAATTTCAGTTCCTGTTTCTCGTTTTGTATTCTAGATACCCAGGACAGGAACATCTCCCCCAAATTCTCTTGCCCCCTCCTCTCCCCAGCATCATACTTCACAATCCGAGGGGAATTCTCAAAGGAGAGAGATCTTCTACCTGGTGGGTCTCTGTGTAAATCCCGGCCCCCCCTCCCCCATTATCGTCACCTTTATAAGTGAGGAAATGGAGGCCAGAGAGGTGAAGTGGTTTGCCCAAGGGCACGGGCTAGTGCAGTGGTCGGCAAACTGCGGCTCTCGAGCCACACGTGCCTCTGGAGCCGCGGTTTGCCGCTTTGTTGACTAATGAGTTTGCTGACCACTTGGTAAGGCATTACCCTTAACGAGAAGTTTTGATTTCAGGTTAAAGACATTAGTACATTATTAAAAGTTTTTTAAGTGTTTTTCCCTAAGGCAGTGGTCAGCAAACTCATTAGTCAACAGAGCCGCAAACTGTGGCTTGAGTCAGCCACGTGTGGCTCGAGAGCCACAGTTTGCCGACCACTGGGCTAGTGAGTTGTCAGAGCCCAGATCTGAATCAGGCACCTTATTCCAAGCTTGTGCCTTTAAGCTTCACCCAGCGGCCTCCATTTAACAGACATTCATTGAGTACCTGTTGTGTGCCATGCCCTACTCTGGGTCCGGGGAGAGACAGGCTAAAAAGACAGGATGAGTGCTCTGAGTTTACAATCTGGGGTGTGTATATGTGTGGGTGGCATGGGGTGGGGGAGTAGGGTGGGTAGCAACCTTTTATTTGCTGTGATACAGATCTGAATGAGATGTAAGCAAACCACATACCTCTGGCCGGCACAGAAGGGATGGAAAAGTTGAAGTCAGCCACCTCCAAAGCCTTAGCAAGCTGGTCATGTCACAAATTCTAATAAGCGCTGCATTCCACACGAGAAACAGGAGAAATCAGACTCCTGTTAGACTAAGTAGCTGGGGAATAATCACCGTGAGCTGTCTCCGTAAAGAACAAGGTTGGTAAACCCGGAAGATCCACAAACACACAGGAGAATGCTAGAGCTTTTTTCAGGGCTTACACCGGGATTAATTGGAAATTAAATGTAAGCCAAAGATCTTGGCATCTTTTTCCCCCTTTTCTCTCCTTCTGGCTCCCCCCCCCCCCCTTCTCTGTTGGCAAATCATTTCTTTGCTTTGCCTTCCTGAGAGCTTTACCTTGGCCCACTCCTTTCTCTCGGGGAAAGGCGAGGTTTCAGTCACTCCTGCCAATTTGATGGAGGTGCTAGGGTAAAGTCAGAATCCTAAGGAGCCCTCATGAGGTGGGGTCAGGCCTCTGGAGAGGGGGTCCCAGGTTTGAAAACTGTCAGAGGTGGGTTCCTCACTGGAGGCTGAGCTGGGGGCAGCCTTAGGGAACTGACAAATATAGTAAATAGTAATTACCATTGCTAATAAAGCCACCTCCTCAGAGCAGGCCTCTCCACCCACCCTGATTAACGCAGACATTTAGTCACCATATCTCTCCACTTTACTCTGGCTCTCTGCAAAGTCCACAGGACTTTTTGATAGTTTTCTGAGTGTTTATTGTCTGTTTTCTCTTCTGGAATGTGCCCTCCATAAGAGCAAGGACCTTGTCTGTCTTGTCCACTGTTGAATCTCCAGGGCCTACAGCACTGTCTGGTATACAGTAGGTGCTCAATATACCCTATTGTGCTGAGCCTCCTCTGTTGTCTCATTTCATCCTTACAACAACCCTTTGAGATAGGCACTTTTATTGTCCTTGTTTTAGAAATGAGGAAAATGAAGCACCAAGTGATTATAAGTTACCCGAGATGAGCCTGGAGATGGTAGAGCTAGTGATCTGAGAGCAAAGCCTGGGTGTCCACCTGCTTTCATGGAGGTGATCTTTGGCGCTAATAGTAACTGCAGCGCTCACTGCAGCTCAGGGGATGGCACACTTGTCTGTTTACCTGTCTGCCCACCTGGGAGGCTGCGGAGTTTCTGTCAGCGTGTTGCAATTCACAGGTAAAGGGCTCTGGGGGTGACTCATACTGGCTGGGCTCAGGTGGAGACTGGGATTCAGGTTGCGTGTCTGTGCTCGCTGGGCTTTTTAAATGGGTCCTCTCCCTCTCCCTCTGGATCTCACCCCTTCTATCGCCTGCACCCATCTGCAGAGATCAGCAGAGGCCCAGATCACGGAGCAGAGGGCTTCTGTGTCTCCACATGCGGGAATGCTCCAGAAGGCGCCCGGACAGGATGGAGGGACTAGTGGTCTGGGATAGGGCTGGGCTGGGCTGGCATCTCTTCTACTTTGTGGATCGGCCCAGTTCTTGGATTCGTGGCTAAAGAGATTGAAAGCAGAGGCGAGCCAATCGCATGTGGCATAATAATTATATTCACAGTGATAACAGTAAATAGTGATGGCTCTCGTTGTTTTGTGTTTGCATGTTATAAGCACTGTGCTGAAAAGTTACCATGTTACCTGATTGTATTGCTCCAGAACTGACAAACCTGGGTTTAAATCCCAGCTCAACTGCTGTGTGATACTAGGCAGATACATCTTTTTGAGCCTCAGTTTTCTCACCTGTAAAAATGGATATAAAACTAGTATCCCCCTCATAGGATTATTGTGGAGATTAAATGAGATAATGTATATGAGTTGCCTTGTGCAGTACCTGACACAGAGCACTTAATAGTTTTTAGGAAAGTTTTTTCTTCTCATTTAAACCTAATAAGGAAGCTGTTATCTCTTTTACAGATGAAGAAACGAGTACTTGGATGGATTAAGTGGTTTGTTAAAAGTAAAAAACTAATAAGTGAAAGAGTTGAGACTTGAACCCACATCTTTCTGCCTCCATTCTTTAGGACTAGCCTATGTTAGGGATTGTCCTGTGGTCAAGTTCTGCCTGACCACTGGCCCCTTACTAGTGTGACTGGATAAATCTCTTCTCTCTGAGCCTCAGTTCCCTCTACATAACATAAGACAAGATTAGTGATGCGCCATCAGGGCAGAGTGCATATTAAATCGCCTAGGTTTCTTTTCTAGATCACTTGTGGAAAAGAAACATTCTTCCTCCAGGCTTTATGATCTGCTCCCCTAAAGGATGGCACAGCCCTTCCTCCCTCCTTGTCCTTTCCAGGACTATGACTGCCCATGCGCCACTGTTTGATTAAAAAGAGAAATGGCCCGCTGGCTCAGTGGTTGAGCATTGACCTATGAACCAGGAGATCACAGTTCCATCCCGGTCAGGGCACATGACTGGGTTGGCATGCAGGAGGCAGCTGATCAATGATTCGCTCTCATCATTGATTTTTCTGTCTCTCCCTCTTTCTCTCTCTCTCTCTCTCTCTCTCTCTCTCTCTCTCTCTCTCCCTCCCTCCCTCCCTCCCTCCCTCCCTCCCTCCCTCCCTCCCTCCCTCTCTTTGAAACCAATAAAAACATATTTAAAAAATAAATAAAAATAAAATAAATAAATAAAAGGAAAAATGCCCAAATGTCAGTGGTGCTTTTCTGTGGGCACCAAAGTAATAGAATGTAAATGTTTTCCTATTCCCCCTCCTCCACCAAGTTGTCTACATTAACCTTGCATTGCTTTTATCATTAAATTCTATGCAAAACCCCAGTTTAAATGTCATTAAACCAAAACAAATGTTCATTGACTACATGGTCAGTGTGTTCCTATTTTTCCTGGAACAGAAGTGTAGATAAGATAGTAAAAATTTAGAAACCTGGCTCAGAGCTTCCCTGAGAAGCACATAACTGGAGAATGGAGGCCGCCCCCCTGCAGGCTCCAAGCAGTGAGTGCAGGAATCAGACCTGACCTTGACTTAATTAAAATTATCATTTATTGAGCACTTACTCTATGATTCTTGCTTCAGACACTCCATCTCATTCCTCCCTGTAAAATAGGGTCACATTATCCACCCTGGAGACAGACTTGATTCCTGGAATATTGGCCAAGTTACTAAAGGGGGTAAACTCTGGAGTTGAGTGTCTAATACCATGGACAAGCAACTTCACTTCCTTGGTACCTGAGATCCTCCTTTGTGAAACGATTGTTATAGGATTAAAGGAGATAACACAATGTCCTTAGTACGTGGTAGGCACAGTTATAGGGGCTTTATGTATAGATCATGGAATTCTCTTGCATCTTATGAAGAAGTTGTCATTATCTTCAATCTATAGAAGAGAAACAGACTCAGAGGCGAGGTAACTGGTCCCTTGGCTATGTGCTTAGTGACAGAGATGGAATCATGTGGTATGCCTTACCACAAAGCCATGACAATAGTGCTTTAAGTCTCCTGAATTCCTTTTTGGAACAAAGCCTAGGATGGATGGGTGGGTAGGAGGAAAGAGAGAAGGAAGAACGGAAAGAAGAAAAGTAGGTAGGTTGTTGGTAGGTTTTATAAGGTAGGAAGGATTTGTAAGCACTGGGCTGCAGACACTACACAAGGAAAAACAAATGTCACGTGGCACTCGTCCCAGGTCTCAATGTAATAAATGCTCAATAAGCGATGTTGAATAAATGAAAAAATGGAGGAATGCATATAATTTACACAAGATAATTGACATTCTAGGCAAATCAGCTGTTCTAACCCCACGCCCCAGAGAAGACCTCCTACTAGTAGTTTGAATTCCTACGCTCCCTCTAATTAGTATCTACGTTTGGCCCAGTGGCACAGTTCTGTAAGTTTCCATATGCTTCCTGTCATCCCTCAGTGGGCTGGCCTGAGGACTAAAATAAGATCTCAATGGAAAGCCAATGGCAAGTAAAGGAACCCAATAGAACATAGCTGGGGTTATAGGTGAGCGCCACGCCTAGGGGTCCTCAGCCATCACCTGTTTCCAGCCTCAATACTCAGCACTCAGCACTCAATACTCAGCACTCAATACTCAGCACTCAGCACCGGCTCTCCCCTAAAACACAGCCCCTTACCTGTGCAAAGCTCTTTTCTGTTTACAAAGTGTTGTCCGATGCTTTACCTCCTCTGGGAGCAGGTATTATTGGCCCCATTTGATAGATAAGCAGGGTTAGAGAAAGCACCCTATTTAAGCAAAGGAGTTTGGACCGGGACCTCAGGTTTTGGATAAAGCATCACCCTAGATGTCATTATAGATCCTAATAGGTCCCAGCAGTACTATGCTGGTGCACACCTAAAGCTCTGTCGATATTTCATCGTACTCTCTACTCTGTCTCTGGACTTAAGGGGAGGGAGAGGCCACACACCCTACATGGAGAATATGCCCTAAGGAAGGCCAGGAAGTAGTGCTTGTGGAAGGTCAGGACGAGGAGCGGGCAGCCTCTAGGCCCTTTTATGTTCTGTACTGTAGGTTTTTATCACAGTCTGCCAATAGCATCATCTGCATTCCTCCCAGAGGTTCCCGGACGTGAGGAATTGTTATGGGGTCTAAAGTTGTCCTAAAAGCTCCCTTAAAATAAAAAAATTAAAAAAAGAAGATGAAAAGGATGGAAGAAAATGCTAAACCCCAGTTCTGGCACAGGGGAAACCTCTCTCTCCTTGCTGGAGTGAGTGTGAATCAGCCCAAACTTTAGCCTCAGATTTTATCTCAACTTTTAATATATATATATATATATATATATATATATATATATATACACACATATATATATATATATTATTGATTTCAGAGAGGAAGGGAGAGGTAGAAAGGGTTAGAAACATCAATGATGAGAGAGAATCATCCATTGGCTGCCTCCAGCGATGCCCCCCCCACCATGGGGGGGTCAAGCCCGCAACTCAGGTATGTGCCCTTGATGGGAATTGAACCGGGGAACCTTCAGTACACAGGCTAATTCTCTATCCACTGAGCCAAACCAGCCAGAGCTTAGATCACCCTTTGGTCTAGCAATTTCACTCGCAGGAATTCAGTCTAAGCAAATAGCCTCTGTGTGCAAAGAGTTATCTGCAAGGATATGCATCAGAGCCCTGTTTATAATCCTGAAGAATTGGAATTAATATAAATGCCCTTCAGCAGAGGCTCAGTGAGATAAGTTAGGAAGCTTGAATGTAGTTGCACACTGAGCCACAGTGTAAAAGGATGCTACAGAAGGCCCCTTAGCACCATGGAAGTTATTTCCTGAGCTCACAACACAATTGGTAGCACTTATGAGTTCTTACTATGTGTGAGGCACTAGGCTCAGTGTTTAATTTCATTCAATCCTCACAATGAACCTGTAAGGAAGTACTCTTATCCTAACTCACAAATGAAAAAGATGAGATCCAGAAATGAAACAGTGGACCCAAGGTTATTTCCAGGAAGTTTCTGAGCTGGGTCTCACCCGAAGATATTTTTCCATTAAAGGGAGAGGAAAAGACACAGAAAGAGAGAGAGACATCAATGTAAGAGAGATACATTGAGTGGTTGCCTCCTGCATATGCCCCATTCGAGCCTGCAACCGAGGTATGAACCCTTGACCAGAATTGAACCCAGGACCCTTCAGCCTGGTTAGGATCAACACTCTATCCATGGAATCAAACCAGTGAGGGCCCTTTAAGTATTTCACTAACTTTTAGTAAATTGGTTCATTCCTGTTTTTAAAACCCATTTATGTGAGTAGGGAAGGCACAGGAAAAATACATACCAAATATCTTAGAAATTGGGGCTCGCTGGAAAGAACAGAATCCAGCTGGCTCAGCCCCACAAGCCCACTCTTCCCAGGACCTGGCCTGGGACCTAGGAGCTCACCCACTGTTGCAAGACATCACCACTCTGCATCTTAAAGGGCCGGTAGATAAGATACTGTTCACTTCCAAATATAAGAGGGCTTCGCTCAGAAAAACCTGCTACCCCCGCCACCACAATGGCAGATAACACTAAAAACGTACTTCTCCCTTCTTCCGTCTCTCTCTAGGGGTCAGACTGGGGGCTTGGGGGGTTCGAATGAGGGTTTCCTTGAGGAACTACAGCGGGAAAATGCCCGATGCCTGGCTTGGACAGAGGGTTCTGAGGCCCCGGGCCCAGTGCTGAACAGAAGGAGCGAGGCAGTGTCTGGGGTCAGAGCTGCCTTGGTGAGAGTGAGGTGGGGAGAGTGGAGTGGGTAGGGCAGGACTGGGCAGGGTCTGCTCCCGGGCTCAGAGAGGTTCAAGTAGGCCCCTTCCTGTTCCCTAAAGGCTGCCCCTGGTGTTTGTTTAGGTCCCACTGGAGGGGGAGGAGAGGGAGAGATTTGCTAGGGCCTCTGGGCCCCACACTTTCTTAGGAAGGCAGAGGCCCTGTGAAGAGGTTAAGTGCTCAACCTTGGACCTTGGACATTCAGGTGGGGGTTTCTCTAAATCCGAGGCTGCTACCAGAAAGATTTTTAAGGCCATAAGGTTGGGAGCAGGTGGTTGAACAGAAGGGGAGGGACTTAGAAACTGGCCTGGAAGAATCAAGATGAGGCCCCTTTGGCTGTCCCTCAAGAAGGCAGCCACTCAAAAATCCCCATCAATTTACCCCCCACCCCCTGCCTCCCCTTCCTTGTGCCTGCTCACCCTTCAGACTTGCTCTATGCCATGGTCAGCTTTCCCTCCCAAATGGGGTTCATTTATCTGTATCACCGCTATGTTTCATTCTCCAGTTGTTCTGGGATTTCCTCCACCTCAAGGCCCAGCTATCTATACAGTATGTGCATTATTCACTTATTCAACAAATATAGATTTGTTTAAGCATTAAAAATTATAATGGGCCGAAACCGGTTTGGCTCAGTGGTAGAGCATCAGTCTGTGGACTGAAAGGTCCCAGGTTCGATTCCGGTCAAGGGCATGTACATTGGTTGTGGGCACATCCCCAGTAGGGGGTGTGCAAGAGGCAGCTGGTCGATGTTTCTCTCTCATCAACGTTTCTAGCTCTCTTATCTCTCTCCCTTCCTTTCTGTAAAAAAAATCAATAAAATATATTTTTAAAAATTATAATGGTAGCTCTCATTTTCTGAGCATTTAACTGTGTACCAGACTCTGTGCCAAGCACTTGACCTACCCTGTTTCCCTCAATCCTTAAAATTAGCCAAGGATTTAGAGACAGTCACCACCTCTATTTTACTGATAGAAAATAGAAACTGATGCTGAGACCGGTTTGGCTCAGTGGATAGAGCGTTGGCCTGCAGACTGAAAAGTCCCGGGTTCGATTCTGGTCAAGGGCATGTACCTTGGTTGTGGGCACATCCCCAGTAAGGGGTGTGT